GTCTCTATCGACAGTGGCGGCGGCCATGTTGAACAACTATCGTGTCGCCCCCTAGTACCCCCACCCCGAACCACTTGGTTCCGTCTTCATCCTCTGCCGTTCGCGTCCCGGAAGAAACAGCTCCGTGCGTCCATCGTCTCCCCGCTACGTCTTCAAATGGGCGTCCTAAAAACTGAGCCATCCTGCGTTCCAGGTCATCATTTTCAGTTTTATGGAGACTTTTATCCGTAATAAGTGAAAGATTGTTTAGACAGCCGGTCTGGTTTACACGCGACGTTAAGTCCCGGATGAGGCATAAGAAGCAGAAACCGGATTTGTTTACGGACAATCGAGCGGTGTACCAAGAATATGGGGTCGTTACGAGGCCATTCCGAAGGAAAATTACGTCAGCGAAGCAGGAACGAGAGAAGGGGCTAACGATTTACGCTTATGATAATATCTTATCGGCATTCGAGTCGGCATTCGAGTCGACATTCGATCTGACCCTAAAAGTCAGCTGCGAAGAAAAATAGAGGTGCAGTTGAGATATTGAGTTATTTCTTGGCTCGAGCTTTCACGAGTGGGAGTGGCCACGATCACCTCCGCACGGACCCAACGATCATCTTGATAATCCTGATAATAATTCTTTGCAGAGGAATACGAAGTGGGAAAAGCGACCGGTCGCGAAGGGATCCGAGCGATTCTCTTGGAGAAACTCGGTCAGGAGGTTGCGGTACCGCCAGCGATCGTTTCCGAGAGTGACACTTCGCACGGGGATAAGCACCGGAGCACCGGAAACGAGCAGATGTTTCTCATAGAGATCCGACCCCGTGCCAGACCCATTCCGGGCCGAGTCGGTCTTGCGAGCATTCGGCGAAACGTCTCGGAAAGCATAGAGAAAAAGCATCGAGAAAGCATGGAGAAAGCATGGAGTCTCGACCGAGAAAACTTGGAGATCGTGCGACGGATACTCAGGACTCGGAGGAAGACCCTCGCCGCGCATTTCGATATTCTTTCGACGGTTTCCAGATCACCGTTCCTCGCTATTTCGCCTCTGTTCCTTGCTATTTCGGCATTTGTGCAAAGAGACTCCCAACTTCCCCCCCCCCCTCCCCCTCCCTCAGAAGGGCGAAAGGTAAATCCCTAGCGTCCGAAAATGGAAGGCATTTTCACTTTCTGAAGTAAAACGGAGGGTGGCATCCATTATTGCTTCATTTATTCAGGTACCTTTTGACACCACTGGTGAATTTTGCGCCTTGTGCGGGGTCACACGTGGACCATGCCTAAGGCCGGCCGTGGCAACATCTGCAACCGAACGAGGCGAGCGATCGTAAACGTGAAAGTGAGGATCATTTGCGACTCCCCCTCGGCCACGTCCGACTGCCGTTTCTCTCTTTGCGTCCGTGTTCGAGGCCTCGCGAAAACCGTACGTTCGCCGACGGAGCGCAAGTGCGTTCGCGTCGACATAGGGCAGCTCGGCCGCCAACTTTTCGTCGGAAAAACGCTTCATCGACTTCCCGAACGAAGTTCCGCGTTTTGCGAAACGATGAGATTTTGGCGAGGGTTGGCTTCGGAACGCAAACGCGGAGAGTATCTCCCAACGCTTAATACATAATACACGTATATACTTTGCTTAATACTTAATACACGCATGAGAAAACTTCTCGGCAGGATCCGCCTTCGCCGATAACGAGAATAACGCAAGAGAATAACGCGATCGCATCGATAGAGTTCAATTTTGAAGATCCTCTTCGATTTTGGAGGCCCAAGACGAAAATCGACTCGACGGGATCGAAAAAAAAGGGTCGAGAGAAACCGGCCGAAAAGGCAAAATGTACCGTCTTTAAATGCTTAAGCTTAAAGCTTTAAGCATTCGCTTAACGAGGGACCTCGACCAGGCATTTTTCATCATTAAGGGAGTCGGTAACGTTGTGCAACAGCGGTGGCAACAGCGGTGGTAGCGGCAGGACGGCCAGGAACCGGTTCGAGTCGTGTCGTAAAGTCGTGAAGTCGTAAAGGCCGACACAAACCGACGCGAAATGGCAACAACACTCGCAATCATTTCGATCCGACCGCAATCAAATTATATTATTCTATGCAATAAATAATACATAATATCGTTTTATTGAGTCATCACCAGATGGCATTGCGCCAGCCTTCCCCAGCATCTCGTCCACGCTTTTAGCGAGTTCATATCAATATACATAAATATCAATATACATTCGAAATATACATAAAAAAATAAATAAGCAACCGTACTTGAATGGCTGTAGAAGGATTTCTTCTCTTGCCGGCTATTCGAACGCGTGAAAGGCTGAAGGCTCAGAAGGGATCCCAACCCTTTCAGCGAATCGCTTTCACGACGGATCACGCGCCTTCGCGGATGAAAAGAGAAATGGGATGAAAATAGAAATGTGATCGCAGGAGTAACGAGACGGCAGATGCCCCAAATATGTTTATCTTCAGAGCGGTAGGCGTATCAGAAAGGAGTGCTGTTGAAACGACTGTCGAAACGACTGTCGAAACGACTGTCGAAACGACTGGTGAAACGACTGTCGACGACCCAACCCTAACCTTGAACGAGCTGTAACATTAAAATGAAGTATTTCTGCAGTTCCAGGGTGAAAAAGCGATGAGAACTCTTTCCGTCGCTTTTCTGAGAACTTTTCGTAGTTGCTTCCAGAGACGAAAGCGAAGCCGACTGCAAGAGACAAAATGCGTCGCCATTTTCCAGTCGATTTCGTGACTCGTTTCATCGAGGGAAATTATGTTATTAATTATTATTATGTTATTGATTAATTATTAGATGTGAACTCGAAGGCTTGCCGGGGTCCGATTCCGTTCCGGTCGTTTTGAACGGGGCGTCGAGGAACCCTTCAGACCATTTTTTTTTTTCTTTGAGCTGCTGCGTGTCTGAAGAGTCTCTTCTCTCCGGATTCCGGAGTCCTGGAATGGATTCCAGAGTCCTCAGAGCTCTGAGGACTCCGAGGAATCCATTCGCCCCGCGACGCAGCCGGGTTCCAGGCGCTCGCGGCGTTCTCGTGCGATCCCGCGATCGCCGCGAGCGGATGAACGAAGTTTCGACTCATCTTGCGGAATTTCCTGGAAGCCTTGCAGAAAAATAATCATTTGGATGCTGCAGGATTTCGTACGACCTAATCCTTGGGATCCTTTTAATCTTTGAGGTAATCCGCGAATGTCCTTTCGTTCGGATCGTACGATTCTCCGGCGGTCCTTGACGGATCCATTCCCTTTCACCCGGGACTTGGCAGTTCGCCTGACGGGGTGATCGCCGCGACGGTCCGCGGTTTCGTCACGGTCACTGCGAGGTGCGGTCCAAGGTCGAAACGCTTTCGTGCGGTCTGAGAGGGGAAATTTTCCATCTGGACTCCATGTGGTGCAGGTAAAATTTAATTTCATCGTTTTCGTCGAACCTCGAGATGACGAAAGCTCGATGTTCGATCCCACGAACACGAGTGAAATTGCGACTTCGGGATGGGAACTCATCTGCCTAATCCCGTGTACGGTCTCGCTGATGTTCTTGGGAACGACCGGAGGGCATCGATCTGTGGAGTCATTAGTCAATTTCATTGTCGATGCAAGATTATAAGTGCAATTTATTGATATTTACTTGCAGACGAAAACTTGCTCTTAAAATAATTGCATGAAAATTCTTTACGCTGCAAATTGGCTTTGGGGAAAAATTTCTTGAGCGATTTCGATCTCGCATAAAATATCTTTTGGTAGAAGCCAGAATTGGACGGAAAATGTTCTCGAAGAACCTCTTCTACAGAAGTCTGCCTTATCGACGAGAGTTTTCGTCTTCTCGAGGTTGAAAGAAACGGATTTATGCACACCCGGAGCCGTACGGTTGCTCGCCTTCGATAACACAGTTATTAGGAGTTTCCAGAAGAAATTGCTTTTCGTGGCGATCGCCTCTAATCCACGAAGGAATTTTTCCCCCCTAAGTGAGGGGAGGAGACGAGTGGGCGGTGGGTGGGGAGTGAGGATTCCGGATCCCCCCCATAAATGATGGAGTTTCGAGGGGGGAAACCGAGCATTCGGGAACGCTATGAGTCATGTCCCCGTAATTAATGGCCCGTAATTTCGGGTTTCTTGTTTTCCACCGTGATATATAAGGAGGCGGAACCGAGTCTTTTGTTTCCTTTCGACAACAATCGACTCCTAAAACCTGAGAAGAATACCTGCGGTAAGAGCGTTTCTCTCTTTTCACTCATCCCGTCCCCTACGATGATGCAGGAGTTCCCTTTTATTTTGTTGCCCAACGCTGAAGTCGTTTCGTCATCTCGACTCTGTGAAGAGAAATTTTCTCCTTCGCAGCCGAAGACGGCTTCCACGACGAGTAAAAAAAAAAGATTTAACGCATTTCTCTATGAGGAAACACGTGAGCGAATTCGTCTTCGTTCGTGTATGGAGTTCGAAGGGCTTCTTTCCAATTTCCTGTACGAAAAAGTTGCTGATTCACAGCGTAATTTTAAGTGGAAACTGAAAACTGGGTTATTGGTGGAGAACGTGAAACTTCGTTTGATTTGAAGAAAAATTCAATTGAGAATTATTAATGGTGACATCCGGAAAGGTGAAAGTAGATGGTAACCGTGTGCAAAGACATGTTTTAAGCCAACCTAGAACTGATTGTAAGTCGAACTTTCAGCGGTTTCAGCGGTTTCGTGTGGTTGTGTAAGGTGCACGGTGAGTATTTTTTTTATTTTCAACCCGTACTACCTCGATTGCCCTGAAAATTCCATGGGCGCTAAGAAGATACAATCCACTGAATTGGCATTTGCCAATTTTAAAGGTGATAGGGGATTGAAAGAAACCCACTGTATCATTTGAGCGTTGCTTCGTGGCTGCAGACATGCATCAGGCACATTGTAGGGATATCGGCTTCCTGTGTCCCCAGACCTACCGTCATGAAGGAGCGGCCATTCCGAGTGAAACCAATCCGACTCGATTGAAAGAGGAAGAAAAAATTAAGCGATAAACAGGCATTTTAATTCATCCCAAAAGATTCGCTCGTGCGATCATACCCACGACACGATGCAGACTGCCACCCACCACGTTGACCTGCAGCTGGCACAGAACCAAACAGGACTCTCGAGTCCCATGCGCCTCATACCTGAGGAGGCTATAAACTCGACGGCCCAGAACGCTGGAGTTTTTATTATTATTAAAGCTATGCAGAGCGACATCCATAATGAGCCTTCGACGACTGGGCTGCTATGCGGTAGGATTCCACACGGATTCCCATGTTACAGTGGGACGAACTGACGCTCGGTCGTCTCTCTTACCCCCCTCCCCTCTTGGCACTTTCCTCGCCGAGGAAAATCAACGTCCGAATGCACTCGTGGACGATGCGATATAAAAGCTGTATTGTACTTTCGAGGTTTCCTCTATTGTTCTCATCTCGTGGGACGAGGACATTGATTGATACATCTGGAATGTATGTTAGCCGGAGCCAGGGGGGATTCCATGCCCTCCGGACATCATTCGCACTTCGTCTTCTCCATCGTTTATCACTCGAGAGCGAGGCGGATTTCCAGGGCGCACTTTATCACCTCAGTTGCACTCCTGGACGTCGATCCACGTCTTGCACATTTTGCACTTCACGTAGCAGCACCAGAAGTACTTGCATTGGCAGCGTTCGATCTTCTCGATCGTGTACGTCGTGTATCCTCGTCCGCAGCACATGGACTTGCAGCCGTCCGTCCCCGAAGATGTTGCGTTGCACCGTCTATAGAATAGAGAGAGATTTCGAGGGAAAAAACTAACACATGTACCGCCATGGGTAATATGATATTAATGCATTTAAATATATATTTTTGTATTACCATATTTATTGAATTATCATTTATATTTCCAGGCCCCTCATCCATCTCAATGCGTGGCTTCCACATTGAATCTAATCTAAAGTCGAAAGGCATCACGACAGCGCACGAATGAAGGGTGAAAGGGGATGAGTATTTTCATTGCCTCTGTCTTGATAGATATATGAACGGCATCATGTAAATGCCCGCCCTTTCTCATCTCCCTTACTGGGTCTTCTGACCAAATGTGACGCGTAATTAGGGCTACAGGCCAGGCCGTAATATATGGAATTCGTAATGAAGAAGAAAGGGAGAGAGAGAGAGAGAGATAGAGAGACCCGTAAAACCTACCTTCCACGGGTACCGAGGCTCCCCATCCTGGGATCGGGAAGGCAATAGTCCGGGCTCTTGGTGACGTAGATGAGATCCTCCTCGTTGTAGAGGCCTCTGATGGGGCTGACGGGGAGGAGACGGAGCCGACGGTCCGTGCTCGCCGGGCCTTGTCCCGTCACCTCCATCGCGGTCGCGTATTTCTTCTTCAATCGACGCCCGATCACGTCCAGTCGGGCTAAGGCCTTCCAGCAGGTGCGAATGTTGCAGGAGCCGCTCACGCCGTGACATTTGCATTCCGTCACCTGGCTTTCTCGCAGTGCCTGGGAGGAAGAAAACAAACGCTGTTTCGAGCGGACGCATTCTCTCGTGCTAGTTATTTATGGGGAGACAAGAGGGTATCCCAAGAACTCGAAGATGTGGCAGAACTCTCGCTTCCGACGGGGAACCAATATTGTATCGTTGCATCATCCTGCCACAGAAGGCATGGACTATTGAAGAACAGCACAAGTATTTTAAAAATATTTTCCTTACCATTCGCGAAGGGCTCATTTTGTCCTCTTATTGGATTATATTTATCAGGCTACCAGCGGAATGTCTACTTCTACACTACCAAATCACAGATTTAAGTGTATTTTCCAAAGAAAACTAATATTTTCTTGGTAAGTGAAGGCTGAATATTTAATTCAATTGGCAACTCTAAAACATAAAGGCATACCACACCTGGACATATTCCGGCTATGCGTTAGGGAAAGCATTACTGGCGAGGTCATCAAGCAGGTTCATGTACTACATTGCATGTCCGGCATGTAGTACATGAACCTGTTTTATGCATTCCGTACTTTGGAATGCAAATTCTCCGACGAAATAGCTTCCGGTCTACGGGGTGTCCCAGAAAGACTGTTTTCATTACCGTGCCACCTGTAAAGCCGGACTATTGAATGTTATTCAAAAGACAGTCTATTGCACGTAACAGCTGAAAGGGCCACCAGTTGTAAATTTCTCGGGCAGCGAGGGAAAAAATGAAGTCTCCAGGCGAAACGAAAGCACGAAACGATTCATTCAGCATTCCATATATCGCTTCGAGTTTTTTTCAATTACTTTTTTACTTTTTTAAAATACTTTTTTACTTTGATCTCTCGTGCCGTCGTTTCTTCTCTGCGATGGGGGCTTAGAAATTGGAAAGAAAAACCGCGAGTGAGGGTAGTTTGATTTGATAGATTTGCGAGAGAGGGGGTGTCGGGGTCATTTGTTGCACAGGGTTCATTATGGGGCCAACTAAATCTCATTCCCAGCATTCCACCCCGAGGCTGAATTTTATTACACCCTGCCTAATTCATCTCTGCCTTTTTCCCTCCAACAACATCCATTCCACCTCATCTCTCTCTTCTCTCTCTTCTCTCTCCTCTCTCTCTCCTCTCCCGAGCCAACGAAGAAGGCAAAAGGAAGGAGACAGATCCGATTCGCGTTTCCCATCGGTTCCTCGAAGGCGAAAACAAGCACAATTCAAACCGGTGAAACCATTCAAATGCTAAGCGCGTCGTGCAAAGTAGCAGCCGCGTGGTAATCAAAGTTAGCTGTAGTTTTGAAACGTGGAAATGCGCGGCATAAAACTCGGCGGGAGTGGGGCACAAGTTCGCTTCTCCTGCGACGGAGAAGGTAAAGCCCCTAAACACAAGGGCTATAAGGGAAGACTCCATTGTTTGCGTGCTTTCATCTTCTCCTATGAATGGAGAAGAGATTTTACGACCTTATTTTCTCTCCGGTGCTCGAATGCAACAAGTCATAAACCGAATGGCGCCCACGGTCCACGGGGAAACGAGACAATTAAAGCCTCGAGACCCGATCCAATCACCCGGCCGTGATCATGGCGTGCGTGCAATAAACTGATACGTTTTCTTCCTTTTCCTTCGGCCTTTTTCTCATGACGTCTTTTTTTTTTTTTTTTCTTTCGGTCTCCGGGGGCAAACGAGCTCCCCCGGAGAGCCTCTCAGCAAGACTTTCGCGTCTTCGATGGTCCTCTCTCGCAGCAGGTTCTTTGCTGTTTCCTGCTGCCAGCTGTCAGAGTGGACTCGGGTGGTCTCATCACGGTCATTCAATCAGATTCTTGGTGTTTGCAGCCACCCATTTAATCGAGACAGCCCCAAATACTCTCACGACTACAACCATGAGCTCGACCAAAAATATTCCAACCAGTCAGTCAGTAGAGAACTGCTCCCATCTTCCCGCGAGATCCCGACCGAATCGGGTCGCATTCCAAACTTTCCAGTTTCTGTCATAGCGGAAAGGTGTTCCCCAGCATCGTTCTGACGAGGAGCCGATGACTGCATCGGTGCAGAAATGTTCGTTCTGCTCGAATCGGGTTGCCGTCATCATCCATAGTCCTTGGTTGCGCCGAAAAGCTCGGCAGGAGTGGGAGAAAAAATAAAAATCCAGATGAAACTAACGTCCGGCTCAAAATGGAAGATGCGAGAGTTGGAAACGGTGGCGAGCTACGATCTCTCTTATCGTCTGTTGTCGCTGTATTTGTGGAATTCAGCGAAAGACGATGTCTGGTGAATTCCCAAAGACTCACCCGAGTCATCCATTAACGCCTGCACCAATTGATAAAAGTGTGGGCATGTGGACACTTCTGCAATTTCTTTGCTCTTCTTTTACTGGTTTGTTCTTGGCATGACGTAACTAAGAGGATTATGAGCGTTTCGTAAGCGAATAGGGACAACGAATACGACACGTGATACGGGGTGCATTTTGGCACTGGAGCATGATTCAAACCCTTGGATCGGTCATTTGTTTTCACTCTACTCCTGACCCAAAAGCTTGAGAGTATTTTACGGTGTCAGTCGTTTGGTTTCGTCGCCGATTCTCTCCTGCAATGTCCCTCGTCCGCCAATTCGTTTTCCGGGATCCCGTATCTTCGGTTGCAAACGATAGCTTAGTTGTACTTAGTCGACAGAGTCGACCCGTCGAGTCATTCTGGCGTAGCATAACCAAATCGCGCACGTCTGGACGAAGAGCTCTCGACGCGAACGGCGATAAGAGCCTCGGGGACACCCTCGCCGCATCACCCAGAGAACACTCGAGAGCGAACGAAGCAGTTTCCATCTGCTTTCCACCAATTTTGGGGAAAGAAATCCTTCGTCGATACCGCAAGCGGGTACGGGTACGTCAAGTAAAAAAAATGGAGACACGTGTGGACTCGATGCCATACGATGCCGGGTTAAATCCTACGAATTTTCTGTCAGGTACTAATCACCGACGCATCGCCCCAGATTAAGCGACGGATCTTCCGACCCTTAATCCGGATCTTCCGACCCTTAATCCGGATCTTCACCACCTTTCCAGTCGCATCTAAGCGCCAAATTGCCCCGGCGTCATCGCGCGACGAAAACCCGCACAACTTCGAACAAACTCGCGAGTCATCGCTTTCTGGTCGCTCGGGTTCCAAACCCACAAGCGAGGAAGGCCTCGTCATGTTTCGGGGTCTCATCAGGGCCGGTTCCACAAAAAAAATACATTAAGCAAGACGGATCATCGTGGATTTAATCTCGACACCCTTACCACGGTTCCGAGACGGCATGCAGAGAGACCCGGTCTATTAATTTCTTCCACTCTGCTTAAGTAGCTGAAAGCTTGCAAACTCGAAGCTTGCAAGCTTGAAGCTTGCATGCTCCGATTCCGAGCGGAAAATCCTTGAACTTTTATTAATTTTAAATAGTCCTTTATGGTTTTGAAGCTGTTTGTACTGTGGCGTGAAATTCGTTCTGGAATGGAAACGTGCTCCTCGAAGCCACGACAGGAGTTCGTTTAAACGAACTGCATGCCATTAAAAAGCGAGAGTTCACCTCGGAACTCTCTCCATCTTGTGACTTCTCGACGTCACTCGTCGCCAAACCGCCCTTAAGCCACCCCGCAATCGACTGCAATCCGTCAACTCGGGTCATCAGCCTCCGGTCCCGCGACATCGCATGCGGGTGGAAACGAATCCGGACCCGTCATTACCGACGTCCTTGAGTCACGGTCCCCCCCCCCCCCCTTTTTTTTTTTTTTTTTTTTTTTTTTTTTTTGAATTTTTATTATCTTCATCAACCCCCCCCCCCCCCCTTTTTTTTTTTTTTTCCTCGACCGAATTCGAGTCTCGCCTTCGAAGCGACTCGGGTGTCCGCGTCTCATTCGATTTCCCAAGGATCCGAAAATCTTACGTCACTGGATTTAGCCGTAGGATTTAGAAGTAGCCGATTTGCTCCAGTGCACCGTCTCGTTCCCATCTGCGTCTCGGCGGCAATTTTTCCATGAGAACGTTCGTTGGTGCACGTTCGCATCAAATCATCGGTCTCGCTAATCGACGCGGAGTCATCGATTTGGTGCCGCTATAATAACGATTCGTATCGCCTTTGGACCACCGACAATCAAAATCCGAGTGGACTGTGGCATCTCGTCCGTTCCCCTCTCCGATGGCCCTGGAATTCTTGCGCCTCGTGGCGCAAAATCACTGCAGCCCTCCAGAAAATATATACTCGCTTGCCGTAATTTAATTAGAGTCGATGGTCGTCGCCGAAGACGTTAGCACGATGACTGTGTATTGGTGACATTAAAATCCGTGCCATTTAACCGCAGAAATCCGACTTCCTCGTCGACTTCACCGCTAACAAAACCATGAAGAATTTGCATCTCCGGTTTCGTTGGAATTAATCGGGAAGCCGTCACCTCGGCGGGCGAAGCGTCGATCCCCGACGAATCGCACGCGATCATCTAGCATGCGGACGCGACTGGGTTGGGTCGCTTTCTCTCTTTAACCGCGAGTAGATTGTTACCGTCGAGCCCCTTCATAGATCATGTGGGAAGAGGAACCGTGGAAGGAAAAATTCCTCACCCCGGGAGGTTACCTCGGTCAAGGACACCCAGAGGTTACCTCGGTCGAGGACACCCGATGGCATGCACCGAATCGACTCCGCCGAAACGAATCTTGGGCGAAAATCCCGGTTCGGCTGGGCCCTTCGGAAGTCAAGCCGATCGGGGTGCATCGGGTGCAGGGTGCAGGGTGCATCGGGTGCTAAAGTGGATGTCGAGTCTCGAAAAGTTGCAAATTGGCTCCTGGGTCCGAGTCGAGGAACGATCGAGACCGTCTTTGAATGTTTCTGGAAAATTTTCCGGACGAAACTCGTGCCGTGAACGTGCGACGATCAGACGTGCATCACCTTTTCGATCGTCTACCGGCACCCCTGCAGATCGGCATGCATCTGATGAGGCAGATTCGTGTCGCGACGGCACGTTACCACTTCTACCGGCTCGGAAAGTCTTTTTTTGCGCGTGGAGTTGCAAGTCGGACGGCCCCGACCAAAGACCGACCGTACAAAGATATGGAAGAATCATTCTGTGAAGAGGGAAGTTTGCTTTCCTCTTTTACGACCTGTAGAACGTTTTTTCGATCGAAACGACGCTTACACTTTGTTTTCTATTCCCCTCTCCCCCTCCCCCCACCCCGGCGCCATATCCTGCAAACGGTGTGAAGTTTACCTTTCGTCCGGCTCGATTGTTGTGTCGGTTCGTCAAGGCGGTGAGGGATCGTCGGACCCTCTTCACCCGATCCGGCGCATCCACGAAGGTCTGCGAGAGCTTGAGCCCGTACTTGAGATTGTCCCCGCATCCTCCCCACTGGAAGCTCCCGTTCGGCGGCTCACTCGGCACCCTCCCGCACGTGCAGTAGAAGACCGTCCCCGACGCGCACGCCTTCGACACGGAGTAGGCCACCGCCGCCGACGCCAGCGCGTGGACGAACGCCTGCTCCCGAGTCCCTGAGAGAACGACCCGTTCCGCTTCCGAAAAGAAAAAAAACGATCGAGGAGGAAAAAACGCGGGACCGGGACCGACCGAGCGTGAGATCCGGGGATAGCTGCGGAGCCGTCTCGATCGCGGAACAGTTCCATCTCTGGTCCATGAAGAGGTCCTTGCACGTCGCTGCCGCCACTTTCGAAGCCTTCACGATGTGCGGCATCATCTCCGTGTACCTACACGGAAGGAAACGGCGTAGAGAGGCCAGTCCATCCTATATTCCTCATAAAACCCCGCGCTTCTCTGCAACAATCCCCCCCGCCCCCACAAATTTCAATTTACAATAATGCTCACGGTTCGAACTTACACGAACGATGAACTTCGTACGAACTTCCGATTCTTATGCGAGAACGACGAACATAAATAGCCGATATCCACGACCGTAAATCATAAAAATTCCCAGGAACGACCATCACATTTCTCTTCGAGAAAGACGATACAGATAGCTCCCACGTTCAGATCAGTTAAAAATCTTCACTGAAGCTTCCCGTATCGAGTAAATTTAGTAAGGGAAAACCCTTACCAAACAGAAAAAAATAATAATAATTCGAAGGATCGAGCGACGTAGCACTCGAAAGGTTCCCGAAAAGTCGAGAGGAAAACTTTCAAGAACGATTTTAGATTATTTTGTGCTGTTGTTGTTGTTGTTGTTGTTTAGATAATGCGTTGTACCCCCGGAATCTTTCCCTCTCCGATCACGAGATCGCTCGCGTTCTTACAACTTGCGGGAAATCAGAGGCGGAATCGGAAGATCTCGAAAATACAGTATATATTCCATCTTCTTCCTTCCGACTTCACACTTCGCTCTCAAAATCTTTGTGCAAACAATTGTTTATTGTTGGCATTGTATTGTCCGTATGCCTTTTTTTTTGCGTTTGCTCATGCGAGTCTTTTCCCGCGAAAAGGAAAACAGGAAGCTTCTGTCGACTCTTCCGGGCGATGGTCCTCGATCCCGGATCGAGGATCGCGTTACCCGCTGAGAAACGATGACAGGATGATGACAGGATGACGATGATGATGATGACGATGATTAATTTACCTTCTGCAGAGACGGGTCTGTTTCTTGACCAGGCCGAAATTTTTCCTCCCGAAAGTGCAGGACGCCGTGGAGTTCCATTCGTAAGTCTCCGTCTTTCCCACCGCTCTGCAAAAAAAAAAAATCGGCAAAATTTTTGGCGGTGAGTAGCTGTGATTTTTTTCCGCGCATCCGGTCAAAAAAAAAAAGAAGAGAGAGAGAAAAAAAAGAAATTCCCTCGTTTTCTCTTTGCGAGCGCTGTTTGCGAGGGAGGGAAGAAGGTCAATAAGTCGGCTCTCGATCTGCCAAAAAGGAGGCAAACTTCCTTTCTTTTCGTCTCGCACACAGGTTCCAACATCTTCCGCAAATAAGGCGCACACTTTTTCTCACAATGGCTGACCTTGTTCGCGGGGGGCCATCGATCATCCCGCGGGGGATAGAGGGCTCGTATGGTTTTTTTTTTTTTTTTCTCCGAGTCCGTGTCGATCGGATGGGCTGCTTCCGGATGAAAACTTCCGGATGAAAAATTCCGGAATCCGGAAATATTTTGACCGGAGCGGGCGGAAAGTTCCCGCGATGACGAAACGCCGCGGATCGCCCGGACTCCCCCGCGAGAACGCCGCGAACGCCACGAACGCAGCGAAGTGTTGATTAGAGGGAGAGTATGCCATCGAAAATGCGGTCGCATTCCTCGGGGAAAGGAAAAGAAGGAGTCGCAAAACAGATGCTCCGCGGCCTCACTGCCCCGGTCCCGGATAATTAGGGAAATGACTTTGACAACCTGGCTTGTAATTAAGAAGAGCTCCGCTGCCCGAAGGCACCGCGTCTAATGGCGGTAAAAACCCCGGTCTCCCCCGGTTTACATCCAATAACTTATTTTAACGCTCATCGACTCGGCCCCGGCTTTTCTCACTCCGGATTAAATGGCGGGGCCCTCGCCTCGCCGCTCTTTTATTGCTCCGCGTTTTGCGACCGCGTTTTTAACGGGAGTTCTCGACGACCCTCGAGATCGTATCGACGGAAGCCCTATTACTTCTGCGAAAACCTTTTTTTTTATTATTATTTTCTTCTTAAAATTTAAGCGAGTTAACGCGGCGATTACGGGGATTTCGCCGTGAAGAGATTCCCGTCCACGTGGGCGACGAAAAATACTAAAATTCTTTTCTTTTTTTTTACTGTTACCCGGACGTCGTTGCCGGAACGGATCGGCTCTGGCCGAGAGATGACTGCACGAGACGCTTTTGAGGACGAGTTCATAATGGGCTATGAGCAGGGGGGGGGGGGGGGGGGGGGGGGGG